AATACCTTCGTTATCCCTCCTAGGAGTTGTCAAATTTGAAATGTCTTTATTGTTGAAAACACTTTCAAATGTTGCCACATCTCTATCATCAAACTCTGGAACAGGATCTTCTTCAGTCACCCAAAAGTCCACCAAATCAATGTTTTCATAGTCAATAGGATCATAGCTTGCCTTCTGCTTCTTCAATGTACTCCTGACAAATAAAATTTCAATTAGATGTAAATCCATATCAAAATAAAAGCAGCCATAACTTATAAAATTACCTATGCTTCAATCGCAAGTTATAGTTTGTGAAAACTAAATCATTTAGCCTCTTGTGCTCCAATCTATTTCTTCTTTTTGTATGAATGCATTTAAATAAACTCCAATTCCTTTCACAGCCAGAAGAAGAAGAAGTTTGACTAAGAATGCGCATCACAACACGTTGCAACTCTGGCACTAAACATTCATAATATGTCCACCATTCATCTAAATCATGAAAATATGAAATATAAAATTAGTGAATGATCATCAATATACTATTAACTATTAAATACAAACACTTACAAGGGTCAAGTGTTCTGTGCTGCTTTTTGACATGATGGTCTACTGAAAGATTCTTTAGCTTCACAATAAGTAGTTGCTTGTTTCATTACCAAGAAGCCATCAACCTCTTCATCTGAGTAAGACTCCACCACATCAATTAAAGCCATCATTAACTTTGACTTGATCGGGCAGTCTAGAGCATATGTGATTGCAGGATTCAGCAAATATGATGCTGCATGAAGATTGGTCTTTAAATGCTTATCCTATCGAGTTTGAATGATTGTTGTGTACGGCTTATACAGGTCCTTGTTCTTCTTAAACATCTCCTTAATTGTCATTTTTGCCCTTCGCATGCCTTCATAAACATAAGGCAATGAAGGCTTCTCATCTGAATCAATAATTCTCAACAATTTTATAAGAGGAGATACAATTTTCACAACTTGATAACAATCATTCCAAAACCGATTGTCCAATATGATTGCACTGAAATTTTTTCCTGCTTCAGTCTTCAGTCCTTGATAATTTGTGGTCCACAAAGTGTTTATCAACAACTAAAGCCTGCAAGTCATTCTTGTGCATATATATGCTATGCAATGTAATAAATGTGGTAGCAAACCTTGTGGCAGCAGGACGCACAATTTCTTTCCAAGTCGGTCTTTTCCTCAGCCATGATAAGAAAACCATATGATTATATGCAAATACAGTTATCTTTGATGCCTTTGATGTAAGGTCTGACACATGGGCATGCTTGAAAAGTCTTTCAATACAAGATTCAAACAATGTGCAGCACAAGGTGACCAATAAATACTTTTATACTTCTCTTTAATCAATCTACCACATGCTACATAGTTAGCTGCATTGTCAATCACCACATGAATAATATTTTTAGGACCAATCCACTCAATGACTTCACAGAATAGTGTGAATAGAGTTTTGGCATCTTTAACTAGATCTGATGCATCAACAGACTTCACAAATACCATACCATGTATAGAATACACTAAGAAGTTTATCAAAGTACACTGTCTAACATCAGTCCATCCATCAGTTATGAGTGTGCAACCATTGTTTTATTTAGCTCGATGGCTATCAATGAGTAACTGACATTCTTTTCTCTAGTCACTCAACAAGTTGGTTTTAAAATCATAAGCACTAGGAGCTTTAAACCCAGGCCCTATTGAAGCAATGTCATCCACATCTTTTTGAAATAAAAGACAATCAAACGCCTTAAACAGAATGCAGTTTACAATAGCCCATTCAGCAATCAACATTTTCACATTATGCTTTGCTTCTTTAGTTGTTAATGCACTCTTAATGCCAGGTTGGGAATCAGGAGTTGTTCTAGGAGCAAAAAAATTGTCTATGCTCCCAGAAGCTTTCCTCTTTCTCACACTACTTGTGACATTTGGTGATTCAACATAAGTTTCTTCGACTTCCTTTTCTATGCTTTCAATAGTTTTCTTCTTTGACCCTTCTTTTAAAGACTCTGCCATTCTATAATGTATATCATGTAGAACTTTTTTTACAAGCAGCTATTTAACTAACAGTGCCCGTAAGATGTTGCTTCATCATATTTATCTCACCTCCTCTATAACTAATAGTACAAAAAAGACACGTATATATATATTTTGTGTTCCTTCTTTTTTGTACGCAATATGTGCCCATGCTGGATCAGTTTTGGCACGTAATGAGGATGTGGGTGTGGAGGTTTCGGTAGGGGGATTTGAAGATCCAGTATTAGGAGTCATGTTGTCATTTCCAGAACTTTGGTTATTTGAAATATCTATCACTGCTACTAAAAAAACAAATCAAAAGATTAACACAACATTAATGATTAAACAATCAAGTTATTCAGTTTCAGATTTCATATTGAACAAAGTGGGGAACCGTCCATAGTTTTAAAACCGAAAACATATTCAAACTTCACTACTTCAGTATATAACTATATACAATGACCACAATTTTAAACCAAACGCAGTTCACAATTTTGAAACCAAACAAGTAATTCTAAATTAGAGTATCAAATTATTCCAGAGTACCAAATTAATGAAATTATTCCTTCGTGCAAACCAAACATAGAATATCCTCAAGTAGATACAAATCCATGGAATCCATTGTGATTTCAGAATACAATTAATTTTCACAGAATATCCTCAAGTAGAAGCAGAATTCAGATTCCAAAATGGCAAAATTAAACCAGAAAAATAATAGATGGTAGAGATTATCACCGTCACTTCCAAGTTCAAACGAAAAAAGGTGAGTTTGCTGAGAGTGGCCAAGAGCAGAGACTGAGAGTTCAAACGAAAATTGGGAGTCTGGACTTGGGAGAACTGAGATCGGCGAGCACTCGGCCACTCACTAACAACTTAGATTGGTGACGACAGGGCAGGGAGCTTCAGGTGAGGTGCGGGCAAGGCGAGGAGCTTCAGGCGAGGCGACGACAAGGCACCAAGTAGCTTCAAGCGAGGCAGTGGACAACGGTTGACGACCACACCAAGAGTGAGGGCAGTCAAGAGTGCAAGCTTCAGCGAGCTGGGAGATTCAGTGAGCACACGGTGGCTACGAGGGCGACCGAGGACGAGATGGAGATTGGAGATCGAATGAGGAAGAAGGAGACAGGGGTGCGGGGTCGAGCGAGGCTGCGAGGGCGAGCCGGTTTTGGTTCGGTTTGTAATTTTTTTTTAATAAAATGTCGTCGTTTTTGGGCTCTGGAGGGGGCAAATCAGTGAACCGGATAAACCCCCTAAACCGGCGGTTTACCCGGTTTAACATCGGTTCTTACTGGCTCAACCGGTTTACCACCGGTTCAAACCCTGGCCGGTTCTTGCCTTAACCCAGACCGGACATAAAAAAACAAGGTTACGTGACTAAAAATTCACATTTAAGAAATAACTTTTATTAGTAAATGATCCATTTAATGTAGCATCCTTTTGATTTCCACATGCATACAGCCGTAGACAATAATTGGAAAAGAAAATAATAAGTATCAAACAGAACAATTTATAAAGGGATAATATTCAATTTTGTCCTTTGGCTTAGGAATTATGGGGATCTGAAATTTTTTTTAAGAAGAATGTTGTTTCGGAAGTGTTGAAAACAAAATAATATGGTCCCTATCATTTAAAATGTTAATTTTGACTGTTAAATTTGATTTATGTCTACACATAGTCTTCGTACACATCATCTCATCATCTGAGTCAATAATTTTTTTTCTCATAACAATTCCACCATCACCGTCCTCCTCCTTCATGCTCTCTGAATATTTCCAAATCTTCTTAAATGAACCCAGCCACCCCCTTCTTCATCCTCATTTTCTCTGTTCTAATCAATAGTTTAAAACCACTCTCTTTATGTGAATCCGAACCCCCAAGCTTGCAAGCCCCAGACCTGTGGAAATGGCCAAAACATAACATACCCCTTTTATATAGTCAAGATTGGTGAGTTTTTAAAGTGTGGAGTTTTATGATTAGAAAGTTCCGAGAGAAAGAAAGGAAGGAGTAAGGGAACGGGCAATGACAAGCAGAATAGCAGAAAAAGAGACCTCCTGTAGCAAGGCAAGGAAGAGAGAGAATGTGATTTGATGGTGAGGTGATATGTATGGAATGGAAATGTGTCAACAGTCAAAATTAACGTTTTAAACTATAAGAGCCACATTGTTATATTTTTAATACTTTTAAGATAATATTACCCCTAAAATTTTTTTTAGATACTTATAACTCTTAAGCGAATAGTTTTCAGACAAAATTAAACCTTTTTTTTCCATAAATTATATGGCAAACCCATCTTCATTTGCAGTACTTGCTTTTCTTGTCAATCACATTTTATAAGTCTAAAAATTGAAGGGGCAAGACACGATACGACATGGTAACGATGTATGTAACTGTACGTCGGCGTTTCCAAACTGGAAGACCCAACCCCTAAAACTACGCATACTTTTTTTTTCCAGCACCAAAACAATGAAATTTATTAAAATTATTTTTACGAGGCAAAAATTTAAATTGCTATATCACATATAAAGATAGATTTATTAGTTATGATCAAGTGGTAAATTGTGTTAGCCAATAAAATCGTCATTATAGCATCAAAAGTAAAATCTGAAATATTTAATATATCCTAATTATACCCTAAGTACTAAAAATCACCTTTTTGTTCTTCATACTAAGCGTAAAAACCTTCAAAGCTATTTTGGTTCTTTCAAATACTTGTTCTTGTTTTGCAGAATAAAAATTTGTTTATTAGACCTTTGTTTTCCCGATACAAGTAGAATATTGCTTTTGCTAAACTAAATTAACTTGACGCCAGCTTAAACATATGCATGGAGTAAATTGAAAAACATGAAATTTAACTGTAATCATTATCGATTTATATGCGTCTATTTAGCCTTATAATTTATAATATTACTACCATGTAACACTATTTAGTGTTCATCCAACAGCGAAATTGTCAAGAAAGAGCTTGAAAATGACAAACAATCATGAGCGATACGCCAAGATAACAGTCTTGGCTAAAGAAGCTTCTCTATGTACATTGGAGTTTCAGTTTCTTGAAATTACATTCAGCACATTCAGTGATGAATCAACAAAACAGCAAAGTAGGGGGAAAATAGTCTTTTTGACCAATACACATTTGATAACAGATAAGTAAGCCAGAGATAATAAAACCAGCAACTCTGATCATCTGGATCAGTGAAGACGGCATTCTGGACCCGATCATACTACTCCTTTTCTAAAACTTTCTCAGGTAGTGACACAATCGAAGTTTTCTTCTGTCTTAGTCGATGAAAAGAGATGTTGAAGTATGCTGGCTCTCTTTTGACCTCCACCTAGCATGTTAGCTCTTCATTCAGCTTCCACTGAGCATCCATGCCTGCGCTTAGATTTCCAGGAGCAGGATCTTTACAGGGCCAGTTCTTCCAACTGATCCTGCATTTGTTGCACATGCTATAACAGCATTATAATCTGAGACTGGCAACCACGATTATCTACCCAGCGGATCACTCAGCAATCTATAGCATACGCCTATTTTCACTACAACTACATACCAGGCTACTAGCAAAGGAATTATTGGACAACATTTTTTATATTGTAATAGAAGTAAACTACAAAAAAATTGACACTGTGCGCGAGGCATATAGGGGCCACCATTTGCAATATTTAACCAGTATTTCCAGCGTCACTATTATCGCATAATGGAAGAAATCATGATTTGCGTATGGACTACAAGAAGCTAACTGCTATCCACAGTTGCTAAAAGAAGGCGTGCTTAATTTTCAATTTAAGGGACATTTACGATTCCACTCTCTCTATGATCCGAATATGAACAAGATGCAAAACCCAAATCCATATTCAAACGCTTCTCAAGGACCTTCATGGCATTCAAGTTGACCAAGAATAACCAACCAACAAGTTCAGCTATTGTGGGACCAAAGTACCATAAAATCAACTGAAATATCTGCTAACATATGTGGTAGGCAAAACAAAGTAATTTCTTGAATCTTAATAATAAACTCTCTATCACTTGAAAGAAAGCAATGTGCTTCCAATCAATTACACAATCTTTTACTACGTCATTGTCCTTTTCCGATGTGATTATGCCAAGCTAACCAAGCCCATCATATTTCAAATTTTGGTCCTGCGGCTTTTCTAATCAATGAACTACTCCAAGATACCTCATTGTGTAACGTCAACAATGGGGGGAAGCAATCAATTTACTTCCCATAATTCAATCACGGAACCGATCAACATGTTATCCATAAGTATGCATACTATTAAATGTTTTGTGGAAGCTACATGAACCAAAGGTCAGAGATGCTCAAACTAAGCAGCTGTAATATATGACAAGTACTTAAGGATTTTGAGATCTGCAGAATGGCAGAGACCAAATAAAGCATCCAGGTTAGAAAATTTATTGCATAATTTTGCAGGAAAACATCGGGGAAAAAAATTTAACACTCACTCTAAGTCTCGGCAATCTGAGCCAATCTGGAGCCGGCCAGAACAACTTGCAATATCCTGGGTAATCAGATATAGGAGAAATTCGATCGTCATCTAATTCAAAAACGCCCAGACCATTTTCCTTGGCAGTATCGTTGAAATAATCATCTCTGAAAATTATGCGGTTCCCTTCGCTGATGAATAAATCTGATGCCGATGAAGAAAAGGCGCAATCATCACCGAGAAACACAACTCGATCCCCCAAACTTTTCAACTCAACCCATTCCTTGCCTTCTTCATTCAGCCTAAAAACCTTGAATTTAACTGCTTGCTCGCACCCAAAACAAACATCATCGTCAAATCCATCATAGGCTTCCAGGCTTTGATAGTCGAAGGATAAGTATTTATCAACCAACAATAGTTGACCATCGGATTCGACCAAGAATTTCTTGTCACCGCCAAACACAGGTTCAGCAACCAAGCGAACACTTGAATCCAATCCAACCACTACCGTCCTTCCGGCACCATCAACAGCATAAAGCTGGCCTTGAAAGACACACACATCATCGTAGGGTGTGGGCATGTCGGGGATTATAGTCCACTCCTTATCACCAGATTTAAACAAAGCCAGCTTACCCGAAACATGAATGGTAAGTAAAGCAAATTCTTGGCTTTTGGAATTCAACCACATAAATACGACCTTTTCTAAATACAAGCTACCAGCATCTTCTAATGAATTAAGAGGGCTGAAATCGTTGAGAACATATTCTTGACCCAATTCGACGACTGGAAGGTCATGCACATCCATCACCCTGGGAAAATCCCTAGGAAGGGGTTTGATAGGATACCTGGAGAGAGGGTCGTGAAGACCCAATTGACCACGAACATCTTCGATTTTGATCAACCAAGGATGAGGATCGGAATTGGACAAGGAGAGGGAGGGAGGTGGATAAACGAGGAAAAGAGTACGCTTGGAAAGGCAGAAAGTGCCATGACCGGAAGTGCCAACATTGGAGAAAACAGGGAATTTAGCGGGTAAAGGGTGAGGCAGGAGGGAAACGGAGGATCGCCAGGAGGAGCAAACGGAGCGAAAACGGAGAAGGTAGAACGTAAACCGAAGGCGTTCAGCTATCAATTGGAGGAGTTCCCTGGGAAGGTGAGACCAGTCTGCCATGCTTTCCTCTCTATGCAAATTTGGGGCATAATATTCCCGGAGGTCAGTGTCCTCGCCCTCGTCCTCCTCCTTTTTCTGTTCTCTCGTTTTCTTTCGGTATATTCTCTTTCTTTCCTTCATTTTTTTCCTCTGTTTATTTTTTTATTTTTTATTTGGTTCCCGGAGCATGAACCGGAAATTCGACCGGAAGTCCAGGACAATGCAATGCAAAGCTTAGGCCTCCATCTCAAAATGTAAGGTTATTTATCAGTTATCACAATTGACAAGGGTTTTATTCCAATAGATCTAATAAAAGATTGTACTAAGTTTATTTTTCAGAAATAATTATCATTTTAAAAAAATTCATATAAATTTCAAACTTTCCTATGTTGAATGTAATTTTCCTTAAAAATGTATGACAAAATTTGAAGTAAAGGATGATTTTCTTTTATACACGCACATATATATAATGTGGTGTTGAATTGTACTTTGGGGAAAAAACTTGTAATGCCAATGAGAAGCTATAATCTCTTGACAAACAGTTTGATGTATAAAGGTTTATGTTTGGCATTGGATTTGGTCCATTAAATTTGTATTCAAACACCAGTTCACTTCTCAAAAATTGATTCTTGTTCTTGAACTGTTGTTCCAAGCAAACGTCATGACTGAGTCTAAAACAAGCTTACAATCACAAGCCTCAAACCCAACTTTTGGCAATGAGTAAAATAGATCACGATTACAGACAGAGATTGAAACAGTGTGAATAATTTGTATCAATGAAGGGCAATAATACATGATATAATAAAAAAATGAATAATTATGAATAATTTATTATCATGGTGTAATGGTATTCCTGTCTTGAAATAAACCATTATTGTGCTTTTCAAAGAATGGATCAATTGACTGTGTGTGTGTTCTTGAGCAATTTCATCATCATCCTGTAGTTCTGCCGGCAGCCCTGCCACAGAGAAGAGCATTCTTTGGAATAGGATATTCATCCCTGGACGATTCCACTGGTGAATACACTCGCATATAGAATTGTTGGCCAAGGTACTGTCTTGCCCAAAATTCACTTCTCACATTCCACATTCCCACGTTATCCAGTGCCATGTAAATTGCAGTCCATGACTTGGGATATACCTGTCACACAGAATTCAACAAAAACAACTTGAATTTCTGCTAACGAGCAAATGGGATCTGCAACTCTCTGCCACACAGCAAAGCAACAAAACCTACCTGTGTGGTGCACCTCGAAACTGCATCTCTGAGGTTGTACTCGTTACGACTAGCAGGAGTCCACACACCACCATCCATACTGCATTAGAATGTATTGTTAGAACATTCATTGTGAACATGAGATTTGAGACAAGCTCACTTTGATATGATGCGGGAACTTCTTACCCTACGACCCAGAATGAGTATCCGTCAATGTGCCAACTTTGGACAATGTTCTCATGATTCTGGAATACGATCTCCACGAAGGCTCGAAAATCGGCTCCCATGACCGAAGTATCAAGATACATTGGTTTACCCGAAGGGCCATCTGGGATGCTTCCAACCTTGAAAACGCCATCAATCTTGAAGTGATCAGCTAGCTTCAAGGGGGTGTCAGCTGGAATGAACGATACACTATTCACTGCATATCTCTGCTTGCCCTGAACTTGAGCTGCTGAGCTCTCCAGTATGATTGTTCTGCTTACATTTACCAGACCATAGTGGTAAGAACCCTGAGGATTTGGCCTCGGCCCACTCGCGCTAAGGTTAGTCCTGCAATAATAATACGAAGAAATGGGTTAATCAATGCCATTGGCAGAGCAAAATTGATCAGTGAGATGTAAAGGAGAGTGGCGCTTACCTTATTGAACGAGCTTGTTGAAGAGACCAATCGATCTGGGTGGTTGGTCCAGCAGGAATAGGGCCGGAGACTGGTTGCTGAGAGTTGCTATAATGAAGAATGGCAGTGCTAGTGAGTTCCCTGCTGGTGAAACGAGTGGACACTACAATGTAGTAGTCTTTTGGTGCCTGATCAGCTGTGATGAGCACAGAATAGGATTGACCCACATGAACATCCAATGAAGAATAGGTGGTCTGTACAGTGTGAGTTCCTTCAACTTCCACCAATTTCAAGTCGTGGCCTTGAATCCTGAAGTTGATAGTGTTTTGAAGTCCCACATTTGATATTCTGAGCCTGTATGTTTTCCCTGTTTATTATAGATATAATGCCGTTCACTTGTCAAATGTCTGTTTGTACCCCGAGAATGGAAGGCCAGGGGAGATGGAAATAAAAGGCCTACCTGGCTCCACAGTGAAACTAGAGCCGTTTGCACGCCCGTTAATTAGTAAAGCTTGAGGGAAAGGAAGCCTGTGGCCACCATCTAAAACGGCCTTCAATCTCTGAAATCATATGTCGCAGGATATTAGTACGTAGTCCAAAGAATGAACAGGTGCCAGAGGGCGGAAGAAATGGAAGAAAGAAAAGAAAGATACCTGATGAGGGATGGCGTACCAATCTCCAACGAGAAGAGAGAAATCACCGGCTGGGTCTGGGAATGGGACGGGAATCCTTGGTCTGCTAAGGACTTTGATAGCACCAAAGCCACCGGCAGCTTTATGGACGTCAAGAGAAGGGAAATAGAAGAAGCTTCCAATCTGATCTTTGACTTGCAGCGTGTAGGTGAAATTCTTTCCAGGAGGGATGGAGCATGTGGTTCCATAGACGCCATCTTGATAAGAGTTTCTCCTTTGCTGAATACCATTCCTGTTCAACATTAAAGTCATGAGCAAATGATATAGTAATTGATGATGAGGTTAGCATGTGAGGTGGTTCGGTTTTGTTGGGTAGCCTTATTTCGCTGGTGACGGTGAAAGCGACTTTTATTAAATCCATTCATGTTTTGTCCCTTTTTCTGTTTCAGCCCACAAAAGTTAAACCCATCCTTTCTGTTGTGATCGAATTCAATAACGTCGGACTGGCATGCCAACAAGAAGGAAAAGAAAGCTGGCAATCCTCACTCCAAGGCAGATTCGGCCGAAATTTTTTTAAAACAAGAAACAAAAATGCAGGCTAGCATTATAAAGGCGTGTCTCTAGAGTATGGCTTATAATTTATCAAAAGAATGGAAATGTCTCATTGATCACCCACCCTGAGATCAGTTTGACACTCGTATTTTTTACGCGAATTCGGAACGAGGCATTTGTTAGATCACACTCATGGTGGAATGGATTGACAATCAAGAAAGACTAGTTTTATAAGAAAGGAGATGCAAAAATGGGTGTTAAAGCCAGGTTGCTTTATTATTGTATGTATACCCCAATTATCACGCCATTCGGTTAAAAAGAAAAAAAGAAAGTCCATTTACATAGCTCAATTGACACAGTCAATGGAAGGGAAGTCAACCTATATGAAGCAGCATGGCAGCACATTGTAATCATGTTTTTTCCCCCAGGGTAAGAAGATTAAAAGAGAAAGAGAGAGTAATGACCAGGATAGGAGGAAGGGTTCGGGCAAGTTATTGAAGACATTAATGATGAGATTGTCATTGGTGACAGAGTAGATTTCGGGTCCAGGAAATTGACCATTGATGAGGATGCCCTGCATGCGGAACGAATGAGATGGACGTGAGCTGAGGAGTAAGTCAAAATGAGGGAGACATAGAATGGTAAGGAGGAGGAGGAAGAAGAAGAAGAACCTGTTGTTTAAAACCAAGGGGATAGATGTCGCCGTAGGTGATGTTCCAGGTGAAGAATCGGTAAGGGTCCTCGGCAGTAACCAGCGGCAGCAGCAGCAAGAGGAAGCAAAAACGGAGCATGGCGATAGAATGAAGAGGAAGGCAAAGAGAGGGAGAGAGGGAGAGAGAGGAGTGAATGATGAAGGCAGGCAGAGGCAGAGGAGCTGGGAGTATATAAGGGGGAGGTGGTGGGAATGGGATACAAGTGAAAGAGGTTAAGGGAGCGAGAACGCGCTGGGTGTAGAAGGGAAATGGGATTGGATGGGAGGATGCATTTGGAAAGCTAAGGCATAATTGAGAATTAAAATAGAGTATTCATGTTTGTTTTTAGAGTTGATAATGATGAGGCTTGATGATTGAGGAGGAGAATATAGGGTGAGAGAAGCGCGTGAGACAGGGTTTCACACTGATTTGAGATGAGATGCAACATATGTATGGGCTGGAACTGAGCAGGCGACAATATACCAATTTTTCGTGTGGAAGACGCCGCAGCACACGATATGCTCATGTGATGTGCTGCCCGCCTTTTTCCATTACTTTATTACGCCTCACCTAATTCCATTTCATCATCCGCAAAAGCTTGGCTTCCTATACGCGCAAACTTCAACCACATTGGTTCGTTTTATACTCAGTCTCCGAGACATTCTTCTTCTTGTGTTTTTGTTTTTGTTTTGTTTTTTTTTGTTTTTGGTGCTTCGGCTGTGGCCACATTGTGTTGGGATAAAATGACAGGTTGGGCCTTTTTCACATGGAAGTAATTTTTGTGATTGAGTTTTCGATTTTTTATGTCATGTTTTAATTAACATTTTTATTTTGGAGCTGTTCAGCGTCGTGATAACGCCATATATGAAAGATCCAGAAATCTGCATTTAAACCATTGAATTGAGTTGTGAAGTAATGCTGCTCATAGTCATGGTCATCGTCATTAGTGTGGGGAGATGCCCTGAGTTAACTGCAGACACCACGGAATTAAAAATGAGCGGAGTTGACTATTAAAGTCATGGATGAGCTGTGTGTTGAATAGCGGTGAGGAGTGAGGAGAAGTCGGACCTGTTCCCTGTTCCGTTCCATGTGAATGATAATGGCCCCACCTGTTCTGTTTTAGAACATAAATCAATTAAGACAGGTGGCCAACATGCTCGGAACACCACTGGATTTCATTATTCAATTACAAGAAAAGAAAGGTCAAAACGTACAGCGGCTGAGGAATAATATAATGGCACCGAATTCCTTCCAACGCGGAACCCAAATTGATCCCCCTGCCCCCTTCCTAAATCCTAATCACCACGCGTCTTGATTCCCTCTTCCTTCTCTGGGCTTAAATGCCAGCCTCCCCTTTTCAACTCCAATTGTTTTGGGCCTCTTTACAGCAATCATCATGATGGATTCCTGCACAAGGAGTAGGCCTCTTGTCCTTAAAAGAATAATCGTAAATGGCCTAATTGTCATGTTAACCAGAACCCCCCCCCCCAAAAAAAAAAACAAACAAAACAAAAGAGTGAGGCATGCACATTCATCGCATGCTTTCTCCATCACACTTGATGGCAAATGCAAGAGAAGATTAATTGTATGCTTTAAAAGGCTTCGCATATTTTAGCAAAATTTAGTGATTGCAACATGGGAGGCTATGCAAGAAACCAGTTGCGAGGAAAATTCATAACCACCACAAATGTTTGGAGTGAACATTTGGCACGGCCATTGAGATTCGTAGCCCAATAGTTGTGGACCTGTGGCTAGCGCTAGCCGTCATTAGTCAGCCTGTTTGGTAAGACGTTTTGAGGGGGGAAAAAAGTAATTTATAAATACAATAAGTTAGTTTGTAAATTTAAAAATTATCATAGTTTTTGACTAATCTAACTTATAGATAAAACTGTTTTTTTAAGTACGACTATAAAAACACTTAAAACTTACTTAGAACTTATATAAAAATAGTTTTAGAATTAAAAGATATTTTTATCGTTATGTTTATGTTATTGTTATATTTTTTCCTATATATTCTTTGTGTTTTTTAACCAGTTTTTAGTTATTTATTTTTAATATTATTTTAAGTAAAAATAATTTTAAATATTTTTTTATAATATTTTATCTTTACATAAATTATGTAGAATATATTATCTATTATGTAATACCATTTGATTCAAAAATTTTCAGATTACCATAATTTCTAATATAAATATATTTTATTCATTAAACATAACTTTTTTCTTATATTTTGTCTATTTATATTTTTAATAATTTTTTATTATTTAATAAAATTTATACTTATTTTGATTATTATATAAACTAAATTTACTTATTTAATCATAATCTAAACAATTTTTTTATTTTACAAACCAACTTTTATAAAAATCAATTTAAACACATATCACATTACCTAATCCAAATTTTACCTAATTTAATTTTTTTAAAAAAATCAGATTAAAAATAAATTATTTCTTTTAATCGCTAATTCAAATATAGCCCTAACAATGATAAAATTTCTTGTCTTTTGTCCTTTTATCCAAATCCAGTCCGTCTTCCAACCACGAAGTGGATGTGATTCCTTATCTCCAAACAAACACCATCACCCTTCCGTCCCCGTCATTTAATCGGCCATCCTCAACCAAAACCACCAAACTCACAAATGGAAGCTCTGCTTCTGAGTAAACCTGTTTCCCACTTCAGATTTACTTCCAAACACAAACATTCTTCACCTCTTTTCACTTTTCCCGCACGATCTCTTCGCCTTCAACCGACTGAAGCCGCCTTATTCACCTTCCGCGCCATTCAAAATCAAGAAAAGCAAATTTTCCAGGACACGCCCGCTCCCGTCGACAAGGAGGATGAATCCTACGGAGAAGTTAAAGGTATTATCGGAAGCAGAGCCCTTGAAGGCGGTACTGGCATGGAGTATCTGATCGAATGGAAAGATGGTCATGAGCCCTCCTGGGTCCCCTCCGATTTTATCGCCAAAGACGTGGTGGCCGAGTACGAGACCCGGTGGTGGACTGCGGCCAGGAAAGCCGACGAAGCAGCTCTCAAGCAGCTCATTGACGCCGACGACGGCAGGGACATCGACGCGGTCGACAGTGACGGGCGAACCGCGCTCCTGTTCGTGTCGGGTCTGGGGTCGGAGCCGTGCGTGAGGGCCCTGGCCGAAGCGGGGGCAAATCTGGACCATCGAGATAATTCGGGGGGACTGACGGCGCTCCACATGGCGGCCGGATACGTGAGGCCGGGCGTGGTGAAGCTTCTGGTGGATCTGGGGGCGGACGTTGAGGCGGAGGACGACAGGGGACGGACGCCGCTGGAGCTGGCGAAGGAAGTTCTGAACGCAACACCGAAGGGGAACCCGATGCAGTTCGGGAGGAGGATAGGGCTGGAGAGCGTGATAAGATATCTGGAGGGGGCAATATACGAGTACGCGGAGGTGGAGGGGATAGCGGAGAAGAGAGGGAAGGGGGAAAACACGGAGTATTTGGTGAAATGGAAAGACGGAGGGGAGAACGAGTGGGTGAAGGCGAAGTATGTAGCAGAGGATGTGGCTGGAGACTACGAAGCGGGACTGGAGTATGCGGTGGCGGAGAGAGTGATGGGGAGAAGAGAGGGGGAGGAGGGGAAGGCAGAGTTTCTGGTGAAATGGGCGGACATGGAGCAGCCCACGTGGGAGCCCCAAGAGAATGTGGATCCTCAGCTCGTACGGGAATTTGAGGAGGCCCAAAACACCAGCCCGCCCTGACACTTGGGCCTCACAATTGAGATGAGAGTAGTCTGATTTAATTAATGGCAATGGAATTACGGGGAAAGCTGGTTGGGGGCGGAGATTAGGCGGGTTGAGTTGTAGTTGGGAATGAGATGGGGGCAGGGGCAGGATGTTTTCCTTGTTTGTGTGGGGGGAGGAAATTGAGAGAGAAGGCAAAGGACGAGGAGAGGACGGCATTAGAAAAGCGTATGCGATTGAATTCAATCATGTATGTACATTCAACATGAGATTAGATCAGAGATAGGCGTGTTGTTGAAAAAGTAAAAGCAACGACGTGGTGCAGACTGCAGACTGCTCTCAGAATTGGGCCCACATAAGTTTGTGTTCAAACCAAACTCATTTGAACATTTTTGCCCGCCCCTTGAGCTTTGTGAGTCAAGCAACGTTCTCCCGTGTCACAAAAACGTTGAATTGTTTTGTGCTGCTAACGCCCATTCATTCATTTCAGTTAATTGATTGGTTATTGTAGAAAGGCAGCCACTGCGGAGCCCCAAACAAATTTCTGTTTTTTTTTTTTTTCAAAAAAAGCTAAATAGGTGTAAAAGTGCATTGGAGGACTTTGACCAGTGGGCGTTGTTGTGTTATTATAAAGTAATCCCAACGGCGCCTCCCCCATTGGATGCCCGCACGGAGCGAAAGCTCACCATTCAATCCCAGTCATTTTCTAACTGGCATTTCAGTTGTGCCCCTCCCACACGCGTTTTCCAATTTTTCTCACTCCCTATTCCCTAAATTAATTATGCTATTCCTTTTTACAAGGCTGAAAAACTGGTTTTCATATAAATAATAGATACACGTAAATTTTACCTTCTTCAAACAAAATCACATTTCTTTTTTGCCGAACAAAACAAAATTGCATGACAATTATAATTATATGAAGTTAGACGAGCTTTGTGCATTACACAAATTTGACAAGTAATAATAATTTGTCATAAATTTTATGTTCGTATGAAGCTTTTAAGCTAGGTCAGTTACCTATAAGTATAAACCATGCAATAAATATATTATGTTATAGAGAGGCTAGGCCGGTTTATTTATTGTAATAAAATATTGGAAATGAAAACGACCAAAAAGGCCGAGGCGTGTAGGCTTTTGAAAAACAGATATTCCCGTGTACTAAGTCTGCGTGTGGGTTACAGTAGAGGGCAGAGACAGCATACCTCTCCCTGCCACTTCATCTCTCTCGACTCTGGGTATTATTCCTGCCTCTCTTCCTTCCCAAAATTTTTCTCCCCTTTTCATATCTTCCTCCACAGTAAACCTTAATGTCATCAAAAGCGCCTTTCTCTTTCTTGCCCTTTTTGTTTTCAAAAAACAAAAACGGTAAACTGAATTTGTTTCCCGAATATTGACACCGTCTTCCATGGCAGGAGAAGCCGGAATGCATACCAAGTCAGACTCGGAGGTGACCAGCGTGGACCAGTCGTGGCCGGCTCGATCCCCTCGGAGACCGCTCTACTACGTTCAGAGTCCGTCGAACCACGATGTGGAGAAAATGTCTTACGGCTCCAGTCCTCTGGGTTCCCCCCACCATTATTACCATTCCTCCCCCATTCATCACTCTCGCGAGTCCTCCACCTCTCGCTTCTCCGTCTCCCTCAAAAACCCCAGAAACCTCTCCTCCTGGAAGAAACTTCACCAGTCCCAGCACCACGACGACGACGACCACGACGATGACGTCGGCGACGCCGATCAAGGCTCCGGCCACAACATCCGCTTGTACCTATGCTTCATCTTGCTCTTCGTGCTGCTTTTCACGGTCTTCTCTCTCATACTCTGGGGAGCCAGCAAGAGTTATGGCCCTAAAGTTTTAGTTAAGGTCAGATCAAATTCTTAATTCCATTGTGTTGATTCTGCAGTTGGTCCGGGGGGTTAGGTTTTGAACATGTCTTGATTGGATTGTTTGATACCGGGTCCTGACGTAGTTATTGTCCTTATTTTATTTGTCAAATGGAACGGAATGCGGGGGAGGGCAGAACATAGTGTTCGAGAACTTGAATATCCAAGCGGGGAATGATGACACCGGGGTACCAACAGATATGCTGTCGTTGAACTCAACGGTGAGGATCGTGTACAGAAATCCAGCCACATTCTTCGGCGTCCACGTCACTTCGACTCCTCTTGAGCTTCACTACTATCAACTCAGCCTAGCTTCCGGCCAGGTAAAACTAAGCAGCTTTTTGTATGCCAAAAAAATAATAATAATAAGTAGCTTTTGATGTTAGAGACAACGAAACACGTAGCAGTAAGTAATCCCTCATATCCCATCCCAATCTTCCCTCCCTTTGATGATCATAGCTATGCGCAGAGTGAAAATTACAACGGGTAAAGGTCTTTGACCTTTCCGAGAACCCAAAAAAAGAAGGGAAAAGGGGACGGGAAGGGTGGTGGTATGGCACGCTGGGTGCTCGGGCCAGTGGGGCTCGATGGGGTGGGGGTCAATACCAATCTCGGGGACTACAGTGATACAGAATCAGTTGAATTTGATTGGGTGTTTTTGTTATAAAAGCTGCTGGTCTTGCTTCCATCTCTGCTCTCCTTCATCAATTTTCTCAGTTCCCCTCGACAAGTGTGCCCCACTACATTTATTCCGCCAATGCCCATTTCCATTCATCCGTGTCTTCTTTATTCATATATTCTTTTCACGCATTAAATTATTTATGACCACACTTCGGCGGTACTCAATTCCCGTCAACCCGATTCCATCCTCACATGACAGGATCTTCCCCGTCAGTGTTCCTAACACTATTAGTTTTTGCATACTTGATATTATGCAAAGCTTATATAAAATAATCACACATTATATGTGTCGGGATTTGGGATTGAGTGTTGTAGATCTTTAGACGCAGAATTGTTATGGCTAGATAATTGGTTACAAGGGTGTAATTCGTGACAGAGACAGGAGTCGCGACTAAGCGGTACTCGTGTCCACAATACAGGGCAAGAATGAGGATATGGTGTCCAAAATGATCTATTTCAGTTTGAATTGTGATAGAATGTGGATGTATAAAATGTTGAGATGTATGTGAAAACAGATGAAGAAGTTCTATGTGAAGAGGAAGAAGGAGAAGAAGATGGTGGTGGTGGTGTCGGGGCACCAAGTGCCGCTGTATGGAGGAGTGTCAGCTCTTGGGAACGCCAGACAGCAGAAGCAGAATGTGGCGTTGCCGCTGAACCTCACGTTTGTGGTGAGATCAAGGGCTCACATCCTGGGATCATTGGTTCGCTCTAAATTCTATCGAAGAATCCGATGCTCTGTCACTCTTCATGGCAGCAAGCTTGGAAAACCTGCTAACTTGACCCATTCTTGTCTCTATAACTGATCTCAATGTTTTACTCCTTTCCTTTCTACTTCCTACACTAGTTCACTTTCCCAGCCCAATCTCTTCTCATCTTCCCATTCCCACACACTTCCGTGTGCATTTCAGTTCCTCCTTGTTTTTGTTATCCACTGCATGCTTCACTAGTCTATGTTAGCATGTGAGTTTGTTGTTTCATTATATAGTAAATACGCCTTTGGTTCACTGCTTGATGTCTCCTTGGATATTATTCTTTTGATATGCTTACGCACGAATTTATGGCATTTCTTAATGGAAAAACTGTTTTAAATGAGAAACTTGAGGGAAAAATTTTCTGACATTGACTAGTTAGAGTTGGTGGGATAGGATTATTGTACAATACTGCCGGAAAAATCATAAAGTTACCTGAATAATCAAAATTCCGACGGGAGATTTTTGGGCCCGACCCAGTCCATTATTTATCGGTAAACGAGGAGCCTTAAGAAAGTCGGGGCTTGTCTGGATTGGTCGTGTATGTGGATTCATTTGAGAAGTGGTGCTTGACGTCGGCCCAAATAACTCATGCTTATGTGTTTTTAAAAACGGTCATTTGATGCGATTCACATGAAAAACAGATAAAGCTGTCTCATCATTTGAAAGGAAAAAAATGCGCTTTTTTTTCGAGTGAAAAGGAGATGCTTTATTAAAATAATAAAGTTACAAAGCAGGGAACAAATAAAAAAACAGATGTTAACAAGATTATCCTATTCGCATGCTGTGGCGGAAGTGTCTAGCTCGCTCCACGTGCTCGCTTAAAGACAAAGTCTCGTTTACAACCCGAAATGCTGAGGCTTTCTCGTTGCAAAAGATTTTTTTGTTTCTAGCGTCCCAAAGTTTCCAACAGAGAATACCAAAAGCCGAACACCACTGGGGATTGGTCTTCCCCATCCTCAAGTTGTTTTGTATCCAGTCTTCAAACGGGCATTCGAAGAAGTTGGAGTGAAGGTGGGTTGGGAGGATCAGTCTCCAGCATGAGACAGCCAGGTCACACATCCTTAAGACATGATTGATATCTTCAGTTGCTTTCTTGCAAACTCCATAGGTGTCGTTGCTTGTCATGCGTCGCTTAGCTCGCTCTGTGTTAGTAAGGAGCTTGTTCTGTAATACCAGCCAGAGGAAGGTCCTTATACGTTGTGGTCCCGGCCAGCTCCATGCAAGTTTCCAACGTGGATCGGCCGCATCCCACTCATCGGCCATAAGCATCTAATAGGCAGACCGAATTGAAATGGAGTGCTTACTGTCAAGGTTCCAGAAGCAATAGTCTTCGGTACTGGAATGTGAGGGCACAGGGTAGTCAGCAATTTGATTCAGAATGCCGTGAGGTAGAAGATGGCTAAATTCAGTCCACTTCCATTGCCTAGTCGAGGTGGAGTAGTCATGTATAGTTTTCTCAAGGTCTGCATTAGGTATTGGTTGAAACGCGAGATTACATAAGGGTCCTCGATCCCCAATCCAGTGGTCTGTCCAAAATCGCGCTTGCTTACCATCTCCTACTTTCCAAAAAAGCCCCTGATCCAGTTCATGCCAGAGATTGCTGAGGCTTCTCCATAGGTAGGATGCGGTGGGATATTTGCTGCTCTTTTTTTTTTCCTTCGTCCCCATCCATATTTTGCTCTGAGTATTTGGACCCATAAGAGGTTCGGCTGGGTTTTGACTGCATAAGCAACTTTCAGTAGAAATGATGAGTTTTGACCCACTAAATTCTTGAGTCCGCATCCACCGCTGTTTTTCGGCTGGCATACGGTCTTCCATTTTACCAGGTGGACTCCTTTATGTTGGCTGGAGGTTCCCCATATAAAATTCCTAATATGGGCTTCTATTCTGGCACAAGTAGAATTAGGCAATCGTGTCGTCTACATTGCGTAGAAAGGGATGGTAGTTAGCACGGCTTGCGCTAAGGTCAGTCGTCCGGCTAGGAACAGTGACTTGGCTTTCCATCCTGATAGTTTCCTTTGCACTCTTTCTTCAATGTAGTAGTATGTGTCCTTAGTGATTCTTTCATGAAGCAAAGGGATGCCTAAATATTTGCCAAGGTTATCGGTTTTTTGGAAACCCAAGATGCTGCAGATGTGAAGTGAGTCTTGGGGGCAAGTGTTCTTAGAGAAGAAAATTCTGGTCTTCACTCCATTTACTTTCTATCCAAAAGAGGCACAGAAGTCACACATGGTCTCCCGGATGAGGTTAATCTGGGCCGGGTTGGTGGTGCTAAAAAGGATCAAGTCGTCTGCAAAGAATAGGTGGGACAGTGCTAGTCCATTCCTTCCCATTCGGATAGCTTCTCATGTTCCTTGCATTACCTTCTTGTTGATGGATTGCGAGATTCGTTCCATGCAAAGAACAAAAATGTAAGGAGAAAGCGGGTCTCCTTGCCGTATGCCTCGCTGTGGTGTAAAAGGTTCAGTGGGTCTTCCATTCCAGATTACCTTCATCCTCGCCAAGCTGATGCATTTCATGATCACGCAGACTAAGTTTTCTGGTATTCGTGCGTCCTCTAGAGTTTCAGCGATGAAGTCCTAGCTAAGTCTGTCAAACGCTTTTTCGAGGTCCACCTTGATTGCCATCCAACTTGTTGCACCGGTTTTCCTCTTCATAGAATGGATCGCTTCCTAAGCTATAATGATGTTATCTGTAATATTTCTTCCTTTGACGAAGCTGGATTGATTTGGGAGTGTAAGTTGGGGCATCACATGCTTGAGTCTATTCGCTACTATCTTAGTGATGATCTTATACACTGTAGTGCATAGATTGATAGGGCGAAATTCCTTAAGTGTTTGTGGGTTATCCACTTTAGGAATCAGTGCTATCAGTGTCTCATTTAGGCGAGGGTCTACTTCTCCACCTTCAAAGACCGTGCGTATTTCATCAAAGAGTGAGTCTCCCACTACATCCCACTGTGATTGGAAGAACATTGCATGCAGCCCATCTGCTCCCGGGGCTTGGAGGGGTGCCATATCGAAGAGTGCTTGCTTTGTTTCACTTTTGCTAACAGGAACATCAAGAAGTGATAAGACCGAGTCAGATAGTGGAGGGAACAGACCTGAGTGATTGAAGGGTTCATGCATGTGATGCTCCTTTGTGTACAGATTGCAAAAGTATTCTGTAGTCAACTGTCGAAGTTTATTCTTATCAGCCTCCCATTCTCCATTATCAGTTTTCAGCATCAGAATCTGCTTTCTTCTCTGGCGAATCAGTGCTTTGGTATGGTAAAATTGAATATGTGAAACATCGGTTGGTCCAGTGTCCTATTCCACCCATATGAAACTCACAACGAGCATTGGGGTCATAACTTCTAGGCATCGGAGGAAGGGAATCGAATGACATTCTTAAGGGGTCGCGATCCCCATTGCATATCCACTGACTCCTTGACTTTTGTACCCATATGAGCTCTTCTTTTAGGCATAGGTTTTCATACTCTGTCAAAAGTTCACGCTCAATGTCAATAAGATAGGTGGAGTAGGGGTGCTTCTCCAGATCTCGTTGCACCCCATTAATACGTGCTCTCAGTTTCTTCTTGGTTTGATTTATTCCACCAAATACATCATGGTTCCAGATTTAGGCTGCTTGGGTGAAGTCTTCAATATTATCTGCTAGCCTTTTTTTGCTATCCCAATTGGATTTGACCATGTGACTGAAGTCCGGATGTAAGGCCCAAGAGGCTAGAAAGCGAAAGGGTGGCCGACTCATGGGGGAGCTTTTTTCTGTTTTGATTAGGATGGGTCTATGGTCTCTTTGTATTCTAGGCAGGTGCATGATCAATGTTTCGGGTTGCCATTTGAGCCAATTCTCATTCCCTAAGGCCCTGTCAAGTCAGACCATCGTCCCCCCTCTCTTCCAAGTGTAGGAAGGTCCAGAATAGCCAAGGTCAATAAGTCCAGCTTTATGAGTGAACTCTTTGAAGCTACGATTGCCTGGTTGAGATCTACTTGAGCCTCCTTTCCTTTTGCTGGGACCTAATGTTGCATTGAAGTCCCCTACTAAAAGCCATTCCTCATCATCCCTAATGTTTAAATTGAGAAGTTTTGTCCACAAGGCCTCTCTAGAGGTAGCATTTGGACTCCCATAAATGGTAGTGAAAAGAAACTCCTTGCTTCCCAAAGCTGTCGATATAGCCGTGTGCATATACTGTCGATGATTTTGTAGCACCTTGACGTGATGACAATCATTCCACAATAGCCATATACCACCAGAGAAACCTACCGCTTCAACTCTATGAGAATGTTGATAGCCAATTTTCTTGATGACTTTATCCGCAGTCAAGCCTGAGATTCTGGGTTCTACAAGTACTACAATATCTGGTCGGTATCCCTTGAGCAAGGATTGAAGTACTCGCTGGAATTTATTTGAGGCTGCACCCTGGCAGTTCCATACAAAAATGGAGAGATTCATTAGCTACAAGGATTAGTGTTCTTTTTCGGATCTTTCAGATGCAGAATCATAGTTAAGGCCAGATTCCGTAGCTTCCATAAACATTGTTTCTTCATCAGATGGGAGGGTGGCACCGAGAGCATCTGCTAATGCTTGTGTGATTTCGTTTTCAACTGTGCCAACGTCCTCCTTGGTCTTCTGTTTCAGATGTTTAATCTGGATGTTAGATTTCATTTTGAACCCTCCTTTCGTTGGGCTTATGTTTGGTGGCTTTGGGTGAAGGCTTCTTGTCTCAGTTGGGTTTGTGGAATTGGGCTTGGGTAATATAGGGCCAGCTGAGGCAGTGGGCTTTTCGACTGTGATATTGGAGGCTTGTCTGGTGTCTTGGATAGAGACTGCAGTGTGCTTGTGTGGGTCAAGGGTTTTCGGGATGTGGATAGCGCGGTAAGCCGAGGATTCAAAGAGAGAGTTGTTGGGTTTGGCAGGCTGTACTGTCTTTTCTGGTTTTTTGGTCTTGGTGCTTGTTGACTTTTGGGGGCCATCTGGTTTTTTATATTGCCTTTTGTCATTTTCAGAGCAGGCCGCAAGGGTTTTCTCAAGAGGGGTGTCAGAATTGGAGCTTCCACTTTGGTGTTTGTCAGTGTCCTCCGAGGTGGCTAGTACCTCAAAGTGATTGACTTCGGTTCCTAGATTGGTGCTAGTGGCAGCGGGTTTTTTGCTAGTCCGACTGAACTTACTGTTACGCGATGGTGCTTTCATCCAAGCGCCGAAGAGTTGGGTCTCTCGCAAGTTGGTTTCACGCGCTTGAGGTTCTGGGTTCGGTGCTGGTTGCTGTGCTGTGTCGAATTCATTTTCCAAGGAGTTTACGGGGTTGACAGTTGGTGGTTGCTGCTGTATTTTGGTCGGACAGGTAGCTTTAAGGTGGCCATATCTGCTGTAGTGGTAGCAGATGGTGGGGAGGCCTTCATACTCTACAAATTGGGTTGTACCATCAAGTTTGATCATGGAGACCAAGGGCTTAGTTAAGTCTATTTTGACCGCTAGCCTTACAAACCGTGCTTTGTCAAGCCCTTCTGTGTTGTAGTCAATCCGGAGTACATGTCCAATGACTTCACCAATGGTTCAAAGAACATTCTTATGATAGTAGTGATAGGGAAGGCCTGGAAGTCTTACCCAGCCGTATACTTGCTTGATTTCCAGGTTGGAGGGTGAAATAATCGGCTCCCATGGATGCACTGTGAGGTAGTGCCCTAAGACTACCCACGGCCCCCTAAGCATAGCATTTTGGTAATCAAAAGAATTTTCGAACTTAACCATATAGCACCCTCCTTCAAGCTCTGTGAGTTTAAAATTGCCAGAAGGTCTCCAGAGACTTACTATTTTCCCACATAAGACGTCTTGTCTTACATATTGCCCGAGCAGCTTCACAATGACAGCATATTGCATGCTGTGTGTCATGATATCTTTGACTTGCTGTGAGAGAGTAATGGATGGAATCAGTCCTTCCATGGTGACAGTAACGTCGTCTTGCCCAATAGTGAGGTCGTCCTTCTTCCTTGCTTGGGTCGCATTGCCCTCGTTAAGTAATGTGTCTTTGAATGAGGGAGTTTGTTTCGCAGGGGCTTGTTATGCCTCATCCGTGTTGGAGTCATCAACCATGGGTTGCACTGTTGTCTCAGCTTCATCCATTTTGTCTGGTTTATCATCATGAAAAAGCTATTTCTGAATGGCTCGCCATGTGGGTTTGCTATCACCAGAGTTCTCGGTGTGTTCTGTGTCCATTTCTACGTCAGTTCTATCTGTTTCCTGTATCCTGACTTTCTTAGCGGTGCGTTTGTTTTCAGCGGTTGTTGGAGTCCGTTCACCCTTCTCAGTCAAGGTTATGTCAATCGTGGCTTCCATTGTCACTTGTAGCCTCTCCCTCACAAAATGTGAAGGGGAGGTTTAAGCTCTCCTCCTCCTCCGCTGCAATGGCAACGGAGGTTTTTTCTCTCTCTATCTAGGGACTCACCGCAATGGGCGGCAAGGGTGTGCCGCACGAAAATCAAGAGGGAGCATCTCTCTCTACTTTCTCTCTCTAGCTCTCAAAATTCTTTTTCTTTCCGTTTTTAAAAAAAATGTGCTTTTTTCGTAATGATTTGGCTGGTTAACCCCATGACATGTGACAGATGTGTTTATTATCAAACTTTTTGTTCGACATGTGCCACGGGATAAGTAATGACTTTTTCAAATATCATACAATCCCATGTGACGTTTAAATCTGGGAATTACATAATAACCTGCAAAAAAATTGATAGTTAAATTGCCTGTTTAGGCCAACAATCGATAGATCCAACAAATTCATTATGATATGACAGATATGTAACCATTCTGTAACTTAACATGTCCAAATCTAAACCTATATTGTGGGAGTTGAATTATATTTTTTTTTGGCCAAAAAACAAGTCCATTTTATTAATCACCAAAAAAATCAGTTACAAACACCAATAGCCGAAGCCAAAGAAAACCACTCAAAAAATACCTAACCATACAACCTAACACACACAAAAAAACTCACCAGAAAAAGACCAACACAAGGACAAACAAGAACAAAAGGAAACAAGACAATAACAAAGAAAGAACTAAGGTCCAAAACTAACCAACACCCTCTCTACTCCAAACATAAAGAGCAGAAGAGTTTACAAAGGGATCAGCAAAAACATCAGATCTTCTTCCAGTTGAGTCAGCCAAGAGAAGCTCTTGCAAGAGTGGTGGTGCTGTAGTCAGCCACCCATTGGGCTCCACCTCTCTACTACCTGGTGCTGCAAGAAAATCCGCAGCTCTATTACCTTGGCGGGTTACCAAGGAGAAATCTAAATCAGATTTGCTTTCAGTCAGCTGAAAAATCTCAAACAATAGTCACACTTTGCCATTCAACCTTATCAAGTGACTTGGCAAGAAAACTCATTTTATAATGTAAATTACATTGTAAAATAAGTCTTATATTAAGGATCAAAAGATTAGTATACTTATAATTTTCTATGCATTAGATTTATAATTTTATAGTCTCATAGATACAATTGGATTTTGTAGGAATCTGAAATTTAAAAGTAATTTGAATCAATCAGAAAATATACTGATTGGGGATACATGAGATTACTAAATAAACGTGGATAAATTTCTAATAAAAATGAAATTCGTACGCCAATGTAATTAAAATGAAATAGACATAATGTGAGCGTATTTTGGTCAAATTTAATTACTAGCGTTTTTCACGAAGTATAATTATTTTAATTAAAAGAATTAATGATGGGCAATTTTAAAAACGGTTTATGGGATTTTATTTTGTTGCATTACTTATGTATCGAAGTAGCAAAATGAATTCGCGATTTGGGGGAACGGCACGACTCATGACTCGTGTAGATGGCTACCGGGGATGTATAAATAGAACAGCAACCATACTCATCCCCTGTGATCCCCCAGAACTAGACTGATCTGCTATGTATCAGAGGAGTCTGCACCATGAAGCGCGTGAACGTGGCTGCTCAGCCTCCTCTTTCCCTCGCTCCTTCTTCTTCTCCTACTCATCATTTTTCTGCAAATTAATTAATTCATTAACTCTATCTTATGCTCATACGCATTACTCTCTGATCTCTCTATACATACACACACACACATATCGATTATGCTGTGTTCTTTACTTTTAATTATTTGTTCGTGCCCCTATACGTACGTGTGTCTTCAGTGTATCTTTATTCCATGTGATAATGTTTGATATGTAGCCAACGACTGAATAAAATAAACTGTGTTTCATTTTAACTTCTCCAGTGCTACTAGTTAGCGTGCTCTACTGTTTAAACCTGTTATATATTCCATTTTCCCATACGTGATGGTAGATTCTAATGCAACTGCCTTAATAATGGGCAAAATAAGAGGAAAAAATATTCAGACGCACAACTACTACTTTTAATTTTTGTTTACACTTTATGAGGATATGTCTGATCTCTCTTTTCCTAGGCCATATATGACCGACAACTTACACAAAGGGTCCACTATGGAGTCACATGATTATATGTTGTTGGATTAATTACTCTTCCGGTCCTTAATATAAGACCCATTTAATTAATTTGATTAGATTAAGGAAATTAGGTAAGTTAGTTAATTATAAGAAATGTGACACGTTTTTTCCAAAATACCATAATCATCTTTCTTAATACCCCATCTTCCTTTTCTACTTGATTATAGTTGAAGGGGTATCCATAAGGATAATTTAGAGAAAACTGATAAATATGATAAATGGGTCTTATATTTAGGACCAAAACCAATTCAATAATTGGGTCCTATATTTAGAACCGGAGGAGTAATTAACATGTGGATCCGTATATAGAGTACGTTATGAGTTGAGAAGGATAGAATTACTGGCACAGGCTTCATGAATGAACTACCTAGTATGTAATTCATTTGGCTCAATAGCGTCAATATATATATATATATATATATATATATATATATAAAACGAACGACCATATATATATATTAAAATTCTAACAAGCTAAGGAGCCAATTAAGTTGATGACGCCTCTTCCATTTCATTGGAGAAATCAAGAGAGAGAGGAAAGAAGGAGGTAGGGGAACACTACTTTTCAAATTTCAAGTAATGATTGAGATGAGAGGAAATGAACGAGAGAAAATGCTGGGAAGTGGAGGTGACGTGTGGTAGGAATTGGGTGCGCACCGATTCGCAATACCGGCATTAAAATATCCAAATTCCAACAACTAAATAATTCAGGTCACTACCCCTCATGACCCTCCGCCTTTCATCGCCAGCAGCTGCATGTATACTTGCTCTCTTTTTTTTTGGTTACCCACCCAGTCACCGAAGCTTTGTTCCAACTACATCTAGATCCTACTTGCGTCGCGCACCTGGCTGAGACTCGAACTCGAAACCTGACTTAAACGATATTAAGCCGCTTACCACTCGGATAAATCCCCGTTGACACCAACCCAAGAATTTCTGCATACTGGATGCGTTCCATGAAGTGCCTAACGCAATACTCAAGCTCGGTCCGTGGGTAAGGACATCAATTCTGTGCCGTCGTGTCTGGGTTGGATGTGTAAAAGCATTATTTTTACTAATGGCCTTGTGCTTTAATTATATAAAATTAAAAAGGTATTTGAATGAAATCAAATCATGATTTGGAGAATAGATTTTTGGGAGAATAGATTTGTGAAAAAAAATGATTTTGATAAAGTGAGAGTGCTTGGATAGTTGTTATCAGAAGTATTTTTTATATATACAAATTACTAAAAAGGACATAAGTTAATATGATAATTACATAAATGATAGATTTTATAATATATTTTAATTTGAAGAAATAAAATTGTTAATGCAATAATTTTTACTAACATAATTAATAATATATAAGATAATATAATTAATAAATAATTAATATGTGTATATATATTTATAAATTATAAGATTGTTTATAAAAAATAATTATTTTTTAACAAAAAAATATTAATTTGCTTTAAAGATTTTAAATATGAAATTCTATAACATTTTTTTACAACTAGTTTTTATAATAATATAAAACCTCTCATCTTTAATATAATTAAGTAATTGTTATTACGTGTGTAAAAACATTTATAAAATATAAGATTAAAAATATTTTTGGAAAAGATGACTAATTTTTTGTAAACAAAAAAGAAATGAATAAAAAAAAGTACAGAAGGCGGAAGAGAATGTAACAACGTACTACCTCTTTTCTGGTTTAAAAAAAAAAAACAACAACATACTACCTCTGAACAGCGAAGGACTGAAGGCAGAAGATAGAGGGGTATATGTGTCTAGTAAAAAAAAACAAATTCTCATATCTGTTGGCATTAAAAAAAAAACCGTCTGGCACTCTTCAATTTTTTTCCCAAAAGCAAATTCAAAACACTTCTCCCCAAACCATGGTTTCTGATTTCTTATGGGTGTTTGGGAAATTTGTTGCCCAAATCACGGTTTGGACGATTACCCAAACACCCTAAACCTCCTTTGACGTCACTAAGATTATACACACACAGACACTCGAAGAGAGAGAGAGTGTGTGTGTGTGATCATCAGTGCAAATAGCTTTGGTCTAGTTATTTGAGTATAGCTAATAAGTGGGGAGGCTTGCATAAATCTTTTTTGTGGAGAGGATAGAGTATCAAAAGATTTTTACTTGACAGAACAATAAAAGCAATTAACCAGTATTGAAAAACAAAAGCAGTAAAATTAACATCCCCTAAAGTCTTCTAAATTCCATCTATCATTATATTTTAGCCAGAAAAAAAAAGTCAAAGAGGGTCCTTAACTTTGCAACCAAGGAAGGAAAGGTTTTTGTGGAGAGGGTGGATGGGGACCGTAAGAATGATGGTGAAGGAAAGGGCAGAGCTTCATCACACATGTTTAGCTAGTGGAAATTTTTAACGGTGTTAATCAAATCTAAAGGTGAGGACTGAGGAATATGGGTATAAAAAGTTAAAGGAGCCAATAAAAAAGG